AAGGATAGTAACAAAAAGTTTATAAAATTAATGAAGATTTCAGTTGAGACAGAAGCATGATTCAAAAGCAAACCCTCGATGACTACTGCAACACTTATTCTTCATAAGAACAACCAACATCTTTATCATTATTTTTCATACATATTCTTTAACTTTGTTTCCAGCGTAGGGAAAGATTAGATATCATTTACTGAAGTACGGACTGAAATAATCTCAAAGCTTAACAACTGCATTGGTTAAGATGAGGTTAGCTTCTGGAGTGAGTATTTGACATTTCAGTTATTAAAGTCTCACCTGCTACTATCATCATCATGATAGCTACATGAAGGTGTTCTTGGTTTAATACTTCCTTTGGGCAGCTATACTCTGGGGATTTAGAGGTCCAGGGTCCCTGCAATTTGTAGCACAGAGCCATCAAGCTTACTATGAATCTGTCTCTATTCTAGTCATCCAGAAAAACCACAAAGAGACTTATACAGGCCATGCCTCAAGTGAGTGACATCTGGCCAGAGGTCAGCTGCAAATTCCCAACTGCAAGGGAAACTGGGAAATTGAATTTAGATGTTTCCAGGTAAGGGGATGAGGTGGTCAGTAGGCATCTCTGACCATATTTCTGACCTTACTTCATTTACTAAGTCTGAACTACTTCATCTCTTTACCTCTGCTTTTGAGTTAAAGTTCATCCAAACAGTACTTAGAATTTTAACATTATATTTGCTGCTAGATACAATATTATATAGTACATACAACTTGACATTATTAGAAAATGTTATCAGGGACCTCAAAATTATATGAAACTGGTCTTTTAATTGTCATGCAACAGAACAAACTTTAGCTCACTGAAGAAACCCTAATCAAGTAATTTCTCCTGTAAGCTACCAGAGCATTATGAGGAAAATTTGCCACAATGTCTGCTTTTCTCTAATTCTACCATCAACTACAAGAGTAAATAAAATGTAATTATTGGACTTTTAAACACTTGTTTCCAAGTGTGATGGCTGAGGATGTAGCATGGTGGCATAAAGTCTAACTTCAGAGTTTGACCAGTTTATTTTTAACATTTTTATTAAGATACAAGAAATAGACAAATTCTGCACATAGTTTAACATACACCATCAATGACTTTGAGCATATGTATATATTTGTGTAATCTTCACCATAGTCAGGACATAAACATGTCCACCGCTATCATTCAATAACAGCTTTTGTATTCGTTTTGAACATACTGCTGAAGGAAGAATTATTCAGGGCTGGTGGATGGCTGAGTTGGTAAAGTGCTTGCTTTGTGAACACAAGGACCTGGGTTATATTCTCAGAATCAACTTAACGATGGCAGGTGTGTTCACATGTGCCTGTAATAGGCCAGTGCTGAGGAGGTGGACACAAAACAATCTTTGGAAATTACTTGTAAGGCAGTATAAGCTAATGAGGGAGTGTTTGGTCAAGGAGAGACCTTGTCTCAAAGAAGATGGTCTTCTTGAGAATGACACATGCACTTGTACATTAAACATGTACACACATGAACAAGCAAGTAACTAAACATAATGACATATAGATTTGCCTTAAGAAAGAAAGGCAACCGTTCATCATGTGTTGACCACTGCTGATGCTGATTATTTGAACCTGTGACAAACACATATAAATGCATCTAAGACATAACAAAATGACTCTATCCTTGTAAATCTGAGTTTAAAACTAAATTATTTTATGAAACAAAGGACATTTATACTTTTGTTAGGATATGTTAGCTTGAGAATCAGCTTCTATGTCTCTGTACTAGGATTTCAGATAAGACTTATACCAGGCATAATATAGTTAACTATATAAAGAAGAGTAAAATCCAGACTATTTTCATTATTTTGTATCTATAATAGCATGGATTGTAAATTCTTATGCTTGTCAGGGAGAATGTTTGCCCACAGACGTAAGATCTGGAAGATGCTATTTACCCTATTTTTGGAACAATGGGGAAATGATGAACAGCCTCAGTCTTTTAAAAAGATAAATTTAAGGGAACTTTGCACATTTGTCAATTAAAGTTAAAACTCTGAATATAGTGAATCCAAAACTTCAAGGACCAAGCACAATGTCATGTCTCTTAAACCACAGTTCAATAACTGAGAGCCTGTGCTCGCTCTGAGAAGAGTGAATTGGTGCTAAAAATATCTTTCTTTCTGGCTTAGTGCTGCATGTGCTCTAAGAAAAGATTTCTGGAAACAATTTTAAGAAAATATGAAAACTTACATGTAGAGTTTCCATACAGAGAATTAATATGGAATATTCTTGATATGAAAGCTGAACGTCCCACTCAGCAAAGAGGAGAAGTAGCTGTCCTTAGAATTCCATCCTAACCTTGATGTATCTCCCCAAGAAATATTTGGAACTCGAGAAGATCAGGATACTAATTAGGAGAAAATCTCTCTAGCGGAATTGGGGCCCAGAGGAGGAACTTTCTCACCCTGAAAGTCAAGCACCAGTCCTTTTACACACACTTATGAAGATGCTTTCTCTTCTCTCTAATATGAACATAAATGCTGGTTGTTGATACTGAACGTGCTCTGACTTCTCACTGCACAAAGAAACACATGTGGATAGAGCCACATTACACAGAACTTCAGATAAGAGAGGCTGTCTCAAATCTAAGTTTCAAAAGGTGACACCAGTTCCCCCATTTTTCACTTTTGTATAATTCATTGAAAATATTTTTGGAGCATTATAGACAAGCATGGGGGTACAGTGTGCATGATAAAACTACACCATGATACCAGTGTTGTATTTTACCAAGATATTGTCAATCCAAAGGGAATTAAAATGCATAGAAAGTGATACTTTTGTTGTTGGAAAGAAATAAATGTCTCCTCACCTTTCGTGTTAACTTTCTGTGAGGATACCACTGTCTTCCCTCAGGGAATAATTCTATCTTTGGCAAAGAAATATTAGTTATTATTCCTATGTTTGTTCTAGCAATTGCAAAACTATATAACCTGAAATATTAATATTATAATTAGATAACAGTTATTGGTAGAAAAATTATGAGAGGAAAAGGGTATCTCATATTGTGCATGATGATATTGGCATTCATGAGAGGAAATCTACTAACTCTAGGCTGCTTCCAAAGTCATATCAGGGCAGGTTAGTGGACACTTAGACTCACTATCTTATGAAATACCAAAATCTATTTTAAAGGCTATAACAACAAACTGTATACTGTAGATATATGGTTTGGCAAATTAGATACACATTAAACACAGACTAAATGACAGCTAGAAAGGCAATTTTTATGATACTTATTAGCTTATGTAGGTCCTTAATACAATGACTTTCTCTTGAATATCAATCGCTGATTTTCTGAACCCTCATAACCATGAAAAAAAAACATTGTAAATGTTGATGGGACTTAGGGGGTTTATGGTCCATTCATTGATTGATGGCAGTTCCTAAGTAAATAAAGCAATAGGCATACTCTGTTAGAAGTTGAGTGAGCTACTCAGCCCTAAACAACAGCATTTGATAGGAGACTTTTTCAACCCTGGTTATTCCTGTGCATGTGTTGTTTACTACTGTGATGATTAAAACAATGACCCCTAAAAGTACCTTCTCTAAACCTTGGAACTTGTGAATATGTTGCATTAAGTAGAAAGGGAATTTATCAATATATTTAGGTGAAGACCTTGAGATGAACAAAGAGGCAGATTATTGTTGGTCATTGGGTAGGTTCAATATGTTTATAGGGTTCTAATAAGGGAAAATGGGGGGCACACAAGTTAGAATGGGACAGTGATGCAGAAGAACATCAATGTTTAGAGAGATGCACTTTGAAGGTAGACCAGGGAGCCATGGTCCATGTAATGTAGGTGAAACTGTTAAAAATAAAACGTTCTCTCCAGGAGCTTCCATACCAAATACCTGTCAACCTAGAGCATAATTTTAACCCCATAGAAGTTTCTTCAGCCTTTCCCCCTAGAGGATTGAATGAAAAGTAAATTTATGTTCTTTTAAGATGTTAAATTGGTGGCATATTGTTAAACAACATTATAAAATTAGCAACTAGCTCTATCATTTTGATGATTGACCTACTCCAGTTTTTCATGTGTAACAAGTGTCCCCTATTCCTGTCCTGACCAAGATCTAGGGAAGTCCAACTCTCTTGTTAAGCAGACCTGTCCTTAGACTCTTCTGTGCTCTTTAATTCCAGTTTTTCTGCCTAATTCCTGTAGTCTAGTTGTACATGTGTTCTGATAAGTAAATGCTGAATGGTATTTGTACATTAAACCTCAATGATATCCCTAAAATCCTCCTGGAAAGACAAATTCTAGCATAAGTTTTATATCTGAGCTCTTTTTGTACCTATCTTCTTTTTATAGAAACTGACCAGGGGCTATGATCCTATTTTTTTGATGAAATGTATGCCTTCAATCTGTACCATTAAGAATGTGTGATATTGAATTTCCTGTAGTAGGAAGCATAGATGAGGATGTATTTATAGCCTTACTAATATGGAGTAAGGGTTATCTTAGCAAACTTGGCCTGCTTAAACCCTGCACATTGCAAGAGTTTTCAATACTGGCCATATATTTGAAAGATGGCTTCCAAATCTCTAAATAGACTGAAGATGTGTCTCCATATATTTTAGGCATGGGATCAACTCAGGTAGCTAGTATGGGAATGCTGTTTATGGTAAATGCTCTTTTGTTCACCTGGAGTCCTGGGCTATCAACTTCACCTCTGATACTGAGTACTTAAGACCAACATTCAGGTGCTCAATGCTTAAAATTACCTAAAATAAAATGCTGAGCCTTCAATGAACATTCTTGATTAGTAACTCTTGCCAACTGTTATTACACATTGTTGCTGAGAAAATGAAGCACTTTACCGGAGATTACCCTGGGAGAAGACAAATATCTTGGGTGGGGAGACAGATCAGTGGATATAATGCTTGTCATGCAAGTAGCAGGAACTGAATTTCATTATCCAGAACTCATGTAAAATCTGGGTGTTGCATACTAACCTAGCAGTGGAGATACCATGATCATGAAGGTAGCTTTCCCAGGGCGAGTCTTATCCACTGGACTCTGAATGTGGTGACCCCTGTCATTTCCCCAAATGCAGGAAACTCAACCGCATCATTTGTGGCAGTGGGAGACTGCATTTGTGCTCTCTCCTGGGGGTGGGAGGCTGTTGTTCATGCACTTGTAATCCATGCCCTCCTACTGCAAGATTGGAGTTGGAAATACGACAGCAACTGGACGGGAATCTACAGAAATGTCCATCAAAAGAGACCTTTCTTCAAATGAGATGAAGGTGATGACCATCATTCATGGTCCCTCTGACCTGTATACATGTGCCATGGTATTCATGTGCCCGTGTTTACATTCATCAACATGCATGTACACACACACACACACACACACACACACACACACACACACACACTAAAATATCAGAAAATAATTTTTAATTAAAAATTTAAAATATCTTTAAATTACATTAATCCACTCTGTGCACATTTTCTTTTTAGCTATTTTTAGTCTGTGTCCTCACTGTGTAGTGAACTATAGTTATGAGAACAGAATCTTAGGTTTTTAATCCTTATAAGAAATCATCAAAATTAGAAGTTGTTTGGGAGATTGCCAGCACAACATTATGGATATTTTCTTGAAGACTAAATGATCAATGGTTTATCGATAAATAAAATTACCATTCACGAACCTGCCAAGTTTCAGAATTTCCTAATAGAATCATTTAATCTTCAATCTGAGTAGCTTCCTATATAACACAATACAAACACACACACACACATACATATACACACACCTACATGGCCCACTATATTATTTTGAACTGAAATATTCTGTTCAATGTCAGTGCCAGATAAACAGTTAGTCTAGTAAACCACACGCTGCTCACTCTTCAGAACACTCATAGGAAACCACTTCTGTCCTTGCCTTTATTGGTTGGATGGATACCTGCACTTCTCCTCTTACATAGTTTGTTTGGGTTTGAAATGAGCTATCATAGTATCTACAGGTGTCAGTAGTCATTCAAGACTCCTTTCTTCCTTCCCTCTCTCCCTCCCTCCCTCCTTCCTTCCTTCCTTCCTTTCTTCCTTCCCTTGTCTTTCCCTTCCTCATCATTCCATACTCTCATCATCCTCAGACAGTAGATATTTTCCAGTAGATTTCCTTAGTTACAAACTCTGTAAAACTCATCTAATCTAAAATGTTCTTGATTGTTGACCCTGCTTCATACAAAGTACAGTATTACATTGATATGTTCTGGAAAATGTAAGAGGTAAGGAAGAATTCATCATTCTCTCTGGCATTGACAGTAATCACAGCAGGAAATGCAACACTGCTTCATCCAGTGGTTCACACCGCCCTGCAAGCCTAAGACTGATGCGTGTGACCTCTTATCCAGACAGTCAGGTTACTCTCTTATATGGCAACAGAACAAGGGTGCTTATTTTTACATGTTAATTCTTTTATAAGGGCAACTTATCACAAACTTGCAGAAATTATCTTTCTTAATTTTGGCATTAAAAATAATATCTTCTTTAAGTAATAAGTAAGCTAACCCTGTTTGCTTAGGAAATTGAATATTTGTTTCAGTTGATAGTTTAAAAATATCATAATATCAAGGGCTTTTATTGGTTGAGTAAATAGCACTTTCTAAATGTGCTTTTCATTACCAAATATTTGCCTGTTTTGACGATATGACTGATGATCTCTGAAAACCTTCTCACATATATTCATAAACTGTTCAGTCATTTCTGTGCTGTTTGTAATAGCATTTACAGTAGTGTAGTAATGTTAAAGTGTTTCTATGAAGCATGCCTTGCTAAAGTTTGAAATTTTTTTCATTACTAAGTCAGATCCATATTTTTTTTTCATTTTACATACCAACCACACTCATAAGTGGAAACTAGATGTAAAGCAAAAGATAACCAGACTACAACCCACAGCTCCAGAGAAGCTAGATAAAAAGGAGGACCCTAAGAGGGACTCATGGATTGCCCTGAAAAGGGGAAATAGTTGAGATCTCCATGAGTAAACTGGGGGTGAGGGGGCAATAGAGGGTAGGGGGTGGGGGATGAGAAGATAAGTTTGAAATTTAACAATTTACCAAATGAGATAAAAACATATGCTTGTATCAGAGAAACCAAATGACCAAAATGACTTAAATGTATATAGTTAACAATAATTTTAAGACATTTATATATAAATAGAAATCATCACAATATTATGATCAAATTGCTACACAACCACATTTGGCACTTTGTAGAAATGTACAAGTCATCTTTGTTTGACTCCTCAGGCCATGGTTATCCCTCCATTTAGAATTGCCACTAAGTGAATCATGAGGCAAAGCCCATAACTCAATTGAATGCTTTAAATGAAATCTTTCTACCTTGAAAACAAAGCAACTTATGGTAGCAAAAGCACCTGTTAATTAAGGATATTTTCCTTGTATTTATCAATATGACCTTGAACTCTTGCTATAATGTTGTGAATTCTTGTTTCCACAAATTAATGCAAGAAAATATGAATATATTCCTAACATGTGTTTAGGTAGCCAAGTACCATATTACTCAGAAGACGGTTAGAGCCTCCTTTTACATTTTACTTGACAGTGATTTGCAGAAGTACAGAGGGATAGATGTGGGAGCCCACAGAGGTTTCCTAGCGAGATCTGAGCTTGCTTTACCCAGGATGGCTACATAAGGGGATGGATTGACCACGTGTATGATTACCAGGTGTTTGGAAGGGTCTACACTTGCCTGTTCCAGGGGGAGGTCTTCTGCTCCACCATTTGGCATTCCTTTAAAAAGCCCTTCAGAAGAGACAGAGGGGCAGGTGGATAAATATCCAGGCCCTCTCGAGGCTATTCTGAGTTTCTATCTGTCTTTCTCCTCTCTATATTTCTACCTAAATCTCTTATCCCTCACTCCTCAAGAGTACCCTGGGGAAAAAAGTGGGAGCAGGTCTCCCGCAGATAGAGTAGAAATGTATTAAAAGGTCATAATCACCATGGTCATGCAAATGAAATCACGAGGAGGTCTCATATCTTTTAGAATACCTGTTTTCAAACAGTCAAAATACATCAAATGTAGGGGACAGAAAGTATATTGGTAGAAGAAATATAAGATGGTGCAGCCATTATGGAAAGTAATACAAAGATTCCTGGAGAAACTACAAATAAAACAAATGATTCAGTAATCCAACTTGAGGGTATAAGGGAAGAAAGTAGAATTCACTTCACTTTCATGTTCATTGCTGAGTTACAATAGCTAAGATATAGAAGTAATGTAAATATCCATTGATGGATAAGTAAAAAAATTATAATATATAAAATATATAGAAATAAAAGAGTAATATAGAACAATATTTGCTCCTAAAGGCGAGCTTATCACTTACAACAATGCGAATGAATAAATATTTAGGCTATCAAGAAATAATCCAGAAACAAGAAAGGAAAAAAAGAGAGTGAGGGAGGAAGGTGATGAACAAGCTATATGACATCCCTTGCGACAGGCAGATATAAAGCCAATGAAGAGACAAGCCTTTGTGCATGTATGTGAGGGATTATCTACATTAGGTTAATGGAGATAGAAAGAGCAACTGGAAACATGGTCAGCACCATAGCACTATGTGGAGTCCCAGGATGAAGGAAGCAGAAGGACCAACTGGAAACATGGTCAGCACCATAGCACTATGTGGAGTCCCAGGATGAAGGAAACAGAGGAAGCAGGCTGAGGCCAAGTGCTTATCTGTTTCCCTCTGGATGGCATGTGAGTAGCTGCCTCAGGTTCCCGCCATCATGGCTTCCTACTGTCTATACCAGGAACTATGAATTAAAATTCAGAAGTCAGTTTTGTCAGGTATTATTTTGCAACAATTAGACAAGTAATTAATGCATGTGTGCTAACAACAATAAATAAATAAAACACAGTGAAGCATAGGGCAGAAGAGTAATCATCACTGGTTTGGGGTGGGTCACATGGGTGAAACGGTATCAGAAGTCTACACTCGGAATTACAGGATGAATAGGTTCTGGAGATCATGAATGCTTGAATTTTACTAAGAGAATAATTATTAAATTATTGCACAGATGAGGGCAGGAGACACAGAAAGTTAGGAAGGGACTCCAAAATAAATTGTTCTGATTCTTGTACTTGACTAGAAGAAAGAACCATCCTTTCTCTGTCCAGCTGACTTAGTGACTTGTTCAGTTGTTCTAAAGAGACATCATGACCAAGGCAGTTCTTGTGCAGAAAAACATTTTACTGGGGACTTTCTTACATGTTCAGAGGCTTAGTCCATTATCATCATGGCAGGGGACACGTGGCACACACTGTGCTGGAGCAGTAGCTGAGAGCTACATTCTGATCCAGAGAGACAGAGAGACAGAGACAGAGAGACAAGAGTGAGCCTGGTCTGGGCTTCAGCCTGGGCTTCAGCCTGGGCTTGGTGTGGTCTTTTGAAATCTTAAAGCTCATACTCAGTGAATATTTCCTCCAACAAGGCCATACCTATATAGGCCTATGGGGACCATTCCTATTCAAACCACCACACCATCCCAGGGACCAGGAGAGCCAGAGGGGAGTTCTTCCTTGTTATCTTTTCCTTAATAAGTACATATGTTTGCTGTTTAGATATGGGGTGTGACCAAACTCCAGTCCATACACTAATCCTTTCTGGTAAATAATTTTTGAATAGAACTTCTAGATTTTCATGGTAAAATGTATTATCTATTATCCAATTCTAGCCTATCTCTCAGTGATTTTAAGGGCTCAACTCCTGAGAGAAGAATTACCACAACTGTCTTGGAGGCCACTGAGAACGGGTATTAGTGCTCTGTTGGGACCTATTAAGAAAAAGATATTTCATTGTGATCAAAATAAGAGAATCTACCTCCTGTCCTGCCTTCAGACATGACATTCTGATCTACTGGCATAGAGACTAAAACAGTACATACTATTATCTCCTCCCTCAAGAGTTAATCCAGATGGTTTTGTCAATATACTGACCAGGAGTCCACACAGGAAATTTGATTCACCTGAAGATATGCCTCAGAGAGGGGAGGAATAATAATTACTCCATTACAAGATAATGAACTTACCCTTCCAGAAGCTACCCCATCAGTGCAGTCACTTACAAAGCCTCC